AGCCAGTTATCATTTAGTAGTGTATTCCACCCCCAGACAGATGGTCAGACCGAGAGGGTGAATCAGGTGTTGGAGGATATGCTGAGAGCATGTGTCATAGATTTTCAGGGTAGCTGGGCGGACCACATCCTATTGATTGAATTTGCATATAATAATAGTTATCAAGCTATCATCGGGATGGCGTCGTACGAAGCCTTATAAGGGAGGCCTTGCAGATCGCCTATATGTTGGGCAGAGCCATAGGATAGTCTATTACTTGGCCCGGAGCTAATTAGGCAAACCACGGAAAAAGTGGCCTTTATTCGAGAGTGCATCCTTGCTACACAGAGTAGGCAAAAGAGTTATGTAGATCAGCAGAGACAACCCTTAGAGTTTCAGGTCGGAGACTTAGTTATATTGAAAGTATCACCGATGAAGGACGTTCAGCGATTCAGTAGACGGGGGAAGCTTGCTCCGAGATATGTTGGTCCCTTCAGGATTATTGAGTGCATTGGAGCTGTTTCTTATAGGTTATATCTTCTGGCATCGATGTCGAGTATACACGATGTATTTCATATTTCGATGCTTAAGAAGCATTTGCGTGATGAAGAGTAGCAGAGGGTGATTGATTCACCAGAGGTTGGGATACAGGATGATTTGACTACTGTAGAGATTCCGGTATGCATTCTTGCAAGAGAGAATAAAAAGCTTAGAAACAAAGTCATTCCATTAGTGAAAGTTCAATGGAACCGGTAAGGAGCCGAAGAGATTTCTTGGGAGCGTGAGGAGAATGTTTGTCGCGACTACCCGCACCTGTTTAAATAGGTAAGGTTGATATTTAAATGTGCTTATATGCGTTGATAGATTTGATTATATGTGTTATTTAGTCACATTTATATTTAACGCTAGAATGGGTCAGTCAACAATTAGCTCTTAATTATTCGGAACATATAATATATATATGGTGGGTTCCTTGTTTGGATTTTTCGCCCGACGAACAAGTTTCGTCTAGTTAGGGGTTAAGTGAGAATGTATGCATTTTAGATTGTTAAGTTTAAATATTGCTTACATTTCAAATCGGGAGATTAGTGATACGAAATTCTTTTAAGGGGGGGGGGGGGGGGAATATGTTAATATAATTAATATGAGATTAATTATGATTTATGGATATTTATTTTGATAAATATAGTTAAATGGTGTATGAGTATGATACCATGTGTTTTGAGTATGAACGAGTTCATACATGAGAGAGAAAAGAGTCGAAACATACACAACGGCCAATATGTGTAAGTGGAAAATTCCAATCCGGTCGACCGCAGTCCGGTCGACCACCACGGTCGACCGCAGTCCGGTCGACCACCACGGTCGACCGCGAAACATGTAGAGTGTCAGATTCCTGTTTTGAGTTGGTTTTGGTTTTCTAAAGCCCATATCCATTTTCTGGTATATATATATATCATATGTTCACGATATTTTCAGTTTTCTAAGAACCCTAACAGCCACCAAAACCCCTTTAAACCCTAATTTAATTCTTGGAGAAGATTAGAGGCTTTCAAGCTGATTTTCGCGAGATTTTTGGCGTTTGGTGATGCGGCATAATTATGTACCAAAATTGCAAGTGCACAATTTATCAAGTTATAGTATAAAAAGATATCGATCCCACGAAGAAGGTGATTTTAAGAGATTATTAAACTTGGTTCTTATATTTTGTGCGTGACAATTAGGAATAAAGAATAAGTGTGAATGTGATGAGTGGTTGTTTTGATTTATGTGCAAGAGATAATAAATTGAATTTTAGAGGAGAGAAGGAAGAATTAAAGAATAAATGAAATCACAAGGCAAGAAATATGAATTAATAAAATCAAGAAATAAAACCAAAAATAAAAAGAAAATTTAAGAAAGTCAAGATGGATGATTCAAAAGAAGTAAGAAATCTAGAATATAATTCACTAACCAATTTCAATTACAAAATATAAACTATTCTCTTTTTATCCTATTTCAACTTAGATTTATTAAGCATAGATTATCAAACCATTTAAGGAAAGTGTAACCTATCAAATTATCATCTAAGCTAAAATTACTATTCATGATAAGAATAACAACATGATAATAATCCTATAATTCATAAGCATAACCTATCAAACCATTTAAGATAAGCATAGATTATCAAATTCTTCTTCTACCGATTAGTTCTCTAGTTGATTATCCTAAACATGAACATTTTAAGTGCAAGAGAATAATTCATACAATATAAAAGAAATTAGACTAGTTTCATACAATTCTAATATTCTTACAAGAATTAAATTTACATCTTAAGAAATAAAAACAAGAAAAAGAAGACTAATTACAAAATTAAAAAGAAAAGAAAAATCTAAACTATGAACAAGAAATAAATCTAATTACAAAGAAAATAAAAATCTAAACTACAAAATAAATTGCAGAAATTAAATGCAAGAAAAATAAATCTACTCTACAAATTAAAGTGCAAAAAGAAAATAAAAAAGACAAGAAAGTAAATCTATACTACAAGCATGAATTTAAATCTAACTAATAAGCAATAATAAAGAAATTACTAAAAAGAAATAAAAGAGAAAAGAAATGCAAACCTTCAAATTGCTCTTCATCTCCATCCTCATCATTCAACAAGAGGAGAAAGAACAAATTTAAAGAGGAAAAAATTATTTTTATTAATTGCAACTAAAGTTACAATTTTTGGAAGGCCTTCTCAATTAAGAGTAGCCCTCCTCTCCAAAAGGAGTTTACAAAATTTTCACACCTCTAACCCCTCACTCTCTACCCCTATTTATAGTAATCTTCAATGAATATGAGCCATTTGATTTGTCTTGAGCCCCAAGCCATAATCTCCACCTTTGAATTTGCTTTTTGTTCTTCTCTAGCCAAAATATAGGAGGCCCATATGATTCATTTGATTTCATTGCTAACAAACTCTGACTTATTCTGCATGAATACATGTACTGCATGAGGCTTGAATTACATTTCAACACGTAAGGTCAAACAATGAAGCAACGAACGTCAATGGCCTATTATTACACGCCTTATTACGTAAAAATGTCAAAGAAACTATAACAATCTCAAGAATATCACGTTCAGATGGCTCTTATATATGTAGGTTGTTCCTTCATGTAGAAACTAAACATGTTAAAGAAATTATATCAATCTCAAAAACAATACCTCACAAGACTTGAAGGTACATCCCATTCTGAGAATGTACAGCTTAAAAATTAATGAAATAAGACAAACTTAATTGCCTTGAGAAAGAGGTTAAGACAAGCAAAACTAAACCTCGATGTTACGAGCTAGCGTTACCTTTCAGGTCGTTTGGGGGTACTTTCGTAATTGCATCTGCCCCTCGAATGCATAGTGCGGTGCCGGCTGTGCATGGAAAGAAACGGTCTACAAAGTCCACAGCCTCTTTAATTTGTCATAACATGGAGCGTTTCACACTAGAATTAATGATGCTCTCATTTTTTTTTTTCGCTTTATTTTCATCCGTAAAATCCCTATATATAATTACCAATCCTCTCCATTCTCCTTGAAGTTCTTTATGTTCTTGAATCTTGGAGGTCTTTGTGTTGCGATATTGGCGCGGTTCAACCTCGTTGTGATGCCGATGGTGTCTTGGCCTCGCAATTTGATTGAGCCGCGCCAATATCACACCTCCTTAATTAATGATTTAACTTAATTGGGAGAGTGGATTGGAAATTTTTACCCATCTTATCTTCATCAACATCAATTAATTGTTATACTTGTGTGTATTGGTGAATTTTCTTGGGAGGAAGATTTGTTATAAGGTATTAATTCTTTATATATACTATGAATTGCGTTTTCCGAATTATGTTTCTTTCCTTTTTCTTTTTTGTACTTATTTTTTATTTTTGTACTTCATGTGTGAACATCACTAAAAAGAATTTTTTTTAAAAAAAAATTATAGAGCCGTGTGATTCCGCGTTTTAGCTCATAAAGAGGATGCTCAAACAGTGAAGGCGTTGTAGTATAAAACTATAGCCCTCGCTCCTCATCAAACCTAGAGTTTTTTATTTTGGTAGATTAATTCAGGATTTTTTTTTCCAATTGGGACTGCCTTGAGATAAAGATTTTTTTTTTCTGATGTTAATCAATCCTGCATCCATTTCTTCTTTTCCCTTTTTTTTATTATTTATTTATTTATTTATTTTCCTAGTTGGGCGAATACAACAAGATTTTCGATCCGGCTCTGAGCCAGCTATGATCGGAAAAATCTCCAAGTTATCTCTAGATTTCTATTGTTGGATAAAATATTCTAAATGTTGTCACTGAAGACTTCTCCCTCTAAATATTTTATAAGATTTATGATTTATTTATAGTTTATATATTTGTGAAAAACATGCCAAATGCTTCCATGAGATCAATAAATTATTTATATTTTCACGAGAAAATAAATTATTTATATATTTACTATTAATATTACGTGTACATTCATGTGGTTGAGAGTGATCAATGTGTCCTCCAAAAATACCTGGGTTTGATTCTCATATGCGCGCATTCACCTGGTATTGCTAGAGTAATATTTGGGGCCTTAGCGGCTTAATTAATTAGCATATTCTCTCTGTGGTCATTTTCTTTCAGCACACATTAGATGAATATTTGATCTAGGAGCTAGAGCTGAACAATTTGCAAATGAGTTTTTTATTTTTTATTTTTTTATTTTTTTTTATTTTTTTTTCAGTATAAGAATCTCCCTTAATGGAAAGTTTGATGCATAGGTTACTGATCGACTATAGGAGGCTTATTAAGCTTTTGTTCCAATTTCCATATCGACCAAAACCAAAGGTTTGATTTTAAATTTCATTACCGGAAATTAAAAAAACCAAATAATAAAAAAAATACAAAAATGAAATATATAAAGCTGATCAACAAGGAAATAACAAACAAATCAAAATCCCCCCGCAAATCACTCTCTCAATCCCAACAACCTCCCTCTTTATATAAGTCCTCTTCACACAGACTCTCCTCTCGCTCTTCATAATCTCCATCGTCAGCAATGGCAACCAAGCTCCTCATCATCATCACTCTCCTCTCTCTCTACATCTCCACCGTCCAATCTCAATCCAACAAAAACTACCCATGCATTGAGAAGCTTTTGCCATGCTCACAGTACCTCAAAACTCCAAAGCCTCCTGCAGCTTGCTGTATTCCTTTGAAGGAGGCCATTGATAAGGATGCTGCTTGTCTCTGTGATTTGTTCAGTAACCAGCAGCTGCTTAAAACCTTCAATGTGACTCAGGATGAGGCTCTTCAGTTGCCGAAGAATTGCGGAGTTAATGCTGATCTTGATAAGTGCAAGAAAAGCAATGGTGGTAAAGGTGACGTTGAGACTAAACCCTAACCATAACAAGCTTTTATACATTTTTTTTTTAGTATTATTATGTAATTTATGAGCTTGTTATCTTTTACGTTTTGTACGCACATTGTGTTATACTTTAGGATAAATCAAACGAAACTACATTATGTGTTGTAGGGTTCATGGAAAAAAATCTCTTAAACTTCATTACTTTCAAATTTCTATGTATTAATTTGCTCGGATTCAAAAACTGTGATCATGGTATTGACACGTATACATATTTTTTATATAGTATGTGAATATTACAGAATTGATGATTATATTATTGGTTGAGTTCATTTTATTTTGTTTATGTGAGGTTTAGTATATAATAATGAGTGTGTAGTTTATTAATGTCAGTTTCATGTTTATGTTTAGATTTATTGCTTTATTAGTTTTTGGATTCTTATGACATATTAATTGTGTTTTATCTTGGTGCAATCAATTGAACATTTTTCTCAAGAATAACGGTACATGTAAGAATGGTACTGATCATGTCAAGGTATCCAACTAACCATAAGATGAGTATAATGCTTCCCTCTTCTCCTTTTAAGTTTTAGAATTTTATCTTTTCTCTAGTTGTATTCTAAATTACAAATCCAAGAGGCAACGCTAAAATTAAAGAAACATAATGAAATCTATCTATTATCATAAAAGAAAAAAATTTAAAGTCACAATTGGACATGATCCTTCTTTTCTTTTCATTTTTAAATGGTGAGGTATAAATCTACTAAATATCTGCCTTCTATTTCATCTTTGATTATTGATCTAGTTTAAATCTCAGTTAATCACTCTTTTCCATTTACTCTTTAGCGTATTCTTCTCATGCCATCAAATTTAGGCTAATGCGCCATTTTGGCGAACTACAAGTGTACTCCTAGCTGTATCTTAGTTAGCATTATAACATGTACAAGTCTCGGCTCAAAAGATTAGATGACTCGACCAAATTATCTTTTTTCGAAAACAACCTAGAGCCTAAAGCGTATCCAAATATGTTTAATTGAGAATGATGAATCAATTTCTTCATCCAATGACATGTATATCAGTACTTATTTCATACATATTTAGTTGTGATACTTTGATACGGGAGTACCAAAGTTATGTGTATGTAATTATTTCTGACTTTTTTTTGGCAGTTACACCTCCAACACCAACTCCAACACCACCAAATCTGACACCACCAACTCCGACGCCACCAACTCCACCACCAGTAAAGTCAGCGTCCAGCAGCAGTGACATTAACGCTGTAAACGCAGCTGCTATCTTTGCTGCAATTTCTTTTGTTTACCTTAGCGTTTAATTTTCAGGCTTCGACTTGAAATAAAATTATTTGTAGCCTTGTAGGTGACTTTGGTATTTATGGGTTCCTCTAGTTCTTTTTGAGGTATTGTAAATAAGCGAATGCATTGACAGTTTATGTAGGATTTTCTTAACTGGGTTCTTTTCTGATTCAGGATGGTTCAGTTTCTGGTTCTGTATTTTCCTGTTAAGCACCATTCTGATTTCTTTGTGTTATATATTTGAGGAATTATATAGTAGTTAAGGTTTAAGAACAGGTTGCCTTGGTTTTTATGATGTGAGAGTTTAATGTATCAGAATGATAATAGGAATTAAATTCGTAAGAAATACTTAAACTAATGAATGGGGCAGATGATTCAACTAAAAACTTGTACACTTTTCTGTAATGTGTTGCTCTGAGTATTTTTCTTGGTGAAAGTCTTGATGTCCTCTTCTATTATCTCTCTCTCTCTCTCGCTCTCGCTCTCTCTCTCTCTCTTTCTATTTGTTAGTAATTCTCTCTTACCGAGATACATCTTATATAGAATCCAATATTCAAAAAGATTTCCAAATATTACAAGATGATCATAATCTGAATATATATTAATAGGACCTTTGGTTACAGTAATTAAACATGCAAATGCATGCATCAACATTCAGTGAGTCTCTTCAAGTATTCTGAATGTACTTCATGTTTAATTTCTATAATTCATACTATTTATACAGGAAGCTCCTTTATCCAGATGACAGTTACTCTCGCCTCGATAATTTTAAGAATCACATAAATTCTATAAAGGATTGCTCAGATAAGTAATCTGTTTTAGATATACACAAGAATAAAGGTAAGCCACTTGTAATTAGAAATGAACAGAAACAGCTTAATTTAGTTAAGCAAATTGTTTGCTTCCCTAAATAAAATTTTTACGGCTACAATTTAACTTATGCGTTAGCCCCAATTAGTATTTATATTGGTTAGTCAAGCTTTCCGCACTTAATCCATGATGTAAAGCAGTAGGAATATTAAGCTAATATATGTCTTATTTTATTTTTATAGCTTGATTTCCCAGTGAAGGTTGCCTATACTGTTTCTTCTAGTGACCCTCCAAATGACTTTGAGGACTTGCCCATCAAAGAGAAAGGAAAGGCAAAAATTGAGTCAAAAGTGGTTAAACCAGCAATTTCATTACCATGATACTATTTGAATATTAATTCTCAAGTTAATTAGGTCGCCCAAATTTTCCAATAACTCTCACATCGCTTGAGAATTTTCTACTGAGTACTGATTTTAAGTAGTTTCTAGTCCTACATGATCCTTGGCCAGGTTAAATAAAAGATACAGTGCTACAAGTCCAGACTACTTCTATACATATATTCATCTATAAGAACTTCGCAATATGGTCGAATGCAAGCTTTAGAACTTATATCAAGTTCCACATAAACATGCAAAACTCAGTTCAGCCTGTCATATTCCATCATATGCATAAATGAGACTTCATAGCATGTTTTGTATTGCGAAATCATTGTATAACATACCCTTCACATACAAAAGAACCTTAGAAAATCAATGCAATGAGTGCAACATATCTGTTCAAGACTAAGAAAAATCAAATGTGAGAGGGCGCCGGAGCACGAGCAGGAGAAGGAGCCTGCTGGATGTGAGGATCAGAAAACAGTTGGTCTGCTATCACTTGATTCGCTGCATCACTCGGGTGGAATGCATCCCAAAAAACGTAGTCCCTTCGATTGCTGCAGAGGTTCGAGTTTGGCAAGCATAGACCACCGATACTTGTGTCAACGTTGCAGCATGATGTGTTCGAAATTTTAAACCCTGCATAATATGGAAGAAAATTAAGGGAAAACATGCTAATAAGTGATTATATGATGTTTCAATTTTTTTTGGTTTTTTCTATATTTGTCACTGATCTTTAATATTTTGACGTAGTCCCTCAAATTATTGAAATTATTACTATTAGGTCACCTAATTCTTAAGTTACTATAAAATTTGTCCCTCAAGTCATTTGCAATTAAGTCCCCCAATTCTCATAAGCAATTTCAATGATTTTAGCGACTGATTTTTAATGACTTAATAAGTGGGGGACCTAATAGCAATCTCAGTGATTAATCGAGGGACTAATTTCAAAAAATTAAAGATGCAAGGGACTAGTATCGGAAATAAAAAAACTTTTTTTCGGTTTTTCAGTTAATCATGTTTAATTCGAAGTAGGTCACCAAATACCAAGAAAGAAAATCCAGTACCATAGTGATGAGGATTGACGATGAGGTCCATGACGATATTGTAGGAATCTGCAAAGGATAGCTGAGCACCAGGAAGCTTGGAGTTTAAAGAGACCAACAACTTCTGCACTTGTGAATTGAATTCTTGCACATACTGGTTAACGTTTTCCAAGCACTGACCACTGTCAGACTTGACTCGTTGAGACGGGATGCAACCTAATGGACCCAAACCATGAAACACCATTTTCCTCGCTCCGAGACGATAAAGCCTCTGTAAGAATCACAGGACAAAATCATTCCAACAAATGTGAATATCAGTTTCACAAGGAGTAGTACGTTACTGGGTTACTTGATATACCCTTAATTGGCCGTTTAAAGCAGTCATCAAGAGCTCTACAAAATCGTCGTGGGTGTAGGCCTGAGCATCTGCTAAAAAGGGTTGTAGATAATTGTTAACATAGTCGTTGGCTCCTGCGAATAGAAAGAGAAATCAATTATCAGATTAGGATGATCAAGTCCTTTACGTGCAAGACGTTGTGAGGATTTTGAGAATTTTGTTGATATAATACCGAGTCCGATAAAGTATAGAGCCTGGTTGCATAAATTCTCTGCAGCCTTTTCTCCAATCTTAGATTTTATTGCCTCCTTTGTCTTCTCAAAAGAGGTGATTTGATCATCGAAAGATAGCTTCTCAATCTGCAGCAACAAGGTGTATATAAGAAGCAGTTAAGTTTTTAGCAGTATAGATAACTTCGATCTTCCCAAAGAAGTAATCATTCTTGAATTGATGAGGGTATTGTAAAATTACAAAATAAAACCCGGTCTCGTTGAGAATTCCTGCTCCTCCTGATGCATAATTGATGCCCTGAAGTATTGCATCGTCGTCCATTGACAAAGATAAATAGGGTGGTGGAGATTCTATTCCAAGCTTGGCAGCTGCATTCATTTCACACAAGAATCAAATAATTTCCTTCTCAAGCAGACTTAAAACTTCTTATGAAGAAATGAAGAGACTAGGAGAAGACAGTATCAGTACTTACATATGATATCTCCAATAGTCCTCCCATTGCTAAACCTGCCCGTTGGCTGCCCGGTCTTATAGTCAATCCCATACCAAGGATAGTTCGATTTTGCCAACGAGAGTTGAAGATGGTTATTGTTTCCAACATCGGTGAGAGAATCCCCGAACACGAACGTTACTGGGGGGCTCGACGCAGAAGCAATGGCAATAAATGAGGCAATTAGAGTTTGCGTAAGGATAACAATTGCTCCAAACACAGCCATTGTTCAGCTTCAACCTGACCTTTGTTGTGGAAGTGAAGAGCTTGCTTGTGCTATATATTGTTGAGTGTAGTGCACATAAGTCATGCCTATTTGTGTAAGCTTCCTTTGTTTCCTAACCTTGGTAGAACTGCCCTCCAGCAAATTGAGTGGGAAATAATAGATCTACCAAGGGTTTGGGGACTTGAGAGAAGTTGGTATGGTCGTTGAGGAATCTCTTAGGAATACTATTACAGTTGGTTAACTTACCTTGATATAAATGAACATGCAGGATACTAAACTTAAAGTAATAGAATGTTCCATTAAATGCTGATCAATTCTTGTCAGAGTTGTGCGGGTTCAATTGGTTGAGGTTCCAAACTTGGACCTCTTTTTGACGGTGGTAAGTTAAGTTTGAGTTTGAGCATGACAGTAAGCCAATGATGAACATTATGAAAGCTTGTTGTTGCATTCACACAGTTTCTTACAGCACCTAGAACTTAAAGAACAATTAACTCAAACTTAACAAAATAGTAAGACAAATAAGAACCAAACCCCTCATTTAACAAAATCACAAAATTATCAAGTGCCAATATGATAATGTTACAAGGATTCACATTCCTTTCAGAATCTTAGGGATAATGAATATAGACTAGAAAGATATCCAAGGGACAAAGGTCACCATGAGATTGAGCATGATATTAACACAATGGCGGCAGCCAAATTAATGGATGTAGTTCTAGTTGATGTCGTTGGTTAAGGCTTCAGTTTCCTCATTACAATGTTCACACACAAACCCAGAAGTAGAATTAGAGGCGAAGGATCCCTTCTCATGCCCGAAGCAGTAGGGTCGATTGCAGAGGTTGCACTTGGGAAGACGAAGCCAACACTCAAGACATAAGAGATGTGAGCATGCTGTCTCATCTCCGATATAGTCAGAGTCGATGCAGCCTCCACAGTCCTCACATCTGGCAATGCAGAAGAAACATCCTCGGCACTCGCTCCACCTGTCCTTCATCGTTCTGCAGTTTACAGTTTGTCGTCGTGTCAGTAGTTGTTTTATGAAATTTTGTGGAAGAATGGACTGTCATGTAGGATTTAGTATGCTGTTTTATATCGAGAAGGCTCAAAAAAAAAAAGCTTGAAAAAAAAAACGCCCATTTATCATCAGATGGTAGTTTCTCAAGAGAACTTATAAGAAAGGAAAAGTGATGTTATAATCCAAATTGCCGCTTACAAGTACTGTACAGGTTATAACTTGTGTTATGTCCCCTCCCAAAAAAAAAATATTTGTTATGTTGACTACTCTTTGTCTTAAAAATTAGCTCATGCCATTTAATTGTTAACAGGACATGTTATGTTAACAACTTCAAAGTAATGAAATTTCCAAAATATCCTTGTTCTGACACACAACCAAACAAATAAGTTCCCAAAATGCCTGGTGCTGGCTCATAAGTCGTAACAAAGAAGGGATAATGATAAAATTATTCTTTTAAGATTAAAGCAAAAAAGAAAACATTCTTTGACTTTAAAATGCTGAATGGGCCTTATTTTGCTCTACATATCTAAACATACCTTCTTAGTTTCAAAAGCCACTAAGGAAATTAAAAAGTTTGTTTTCAATAACTATCCTATGGTATCCTAATTTAAGGCAGAAGATCATGGTTCTTTCTCAAATTCACACGACAGAGAACACCATCGTGTAAGGTGAGTTTGAATAGTTTTTTAAGAAGGGACGAGAGGGGTTGGCAAGGCTACAGTGGTAACCATCCTAAATTTGTGTTTGTTTACGTTTTTGGTAAGTGAGGGGAAGGATTCAGGGGTAAAAAGAAGAAAACTGCTTCACTTTCTTAACCCTCCTAAAGTAGACGGATTGGGAGGGAAGTGGTCAAATTAATTTATGTCAAGCAATGTCATTTAAATCACCAGTAATAAATCATAAATTTCATATTACTGCTTTTTCAAAAGGCACAATAGCTACAAAGTTATTTTCTTTGAAGACTGTCATTTGCTAACATCCACAAGAACAATATTACTAACTAAGAGACAACCTAGACATTTGGATGAAAACAAGGACTAAATAATTTTCATTAATTAAACTAAAAAAGTTTAGAACTTTTTACAGATTTTGATGAAATTAGGAATCATTTTGATTAAAATAGGTTGCCTCACTATCCTGCAAAGACCAGATGAATACAGGTCTATGTTCCTATAAGCTTATATGCCTGACCAACACAACAAAGTACACCAGATTACATCACGCTTACTACTTTTAAGTAAACGATCTTGACCCACTGCCAAACATCACAAGATGAACTCCCAGCTCTAATGAGATGATAGTAGAAGTAAACCATATAAATAAATAAATAACTCAAATCATACTTTTTAAAGGATTCAACATTTTACGAACCTGCAATTTTCCCTTGTGCAATCAAACACCAGCCTTATGTTTGTACACTTTGGGCAGATATCTACATCAATTAGACGTCTGTCGTCGCTGTTAGGTGGTAGAGAATGCCAATTACCATAGAAATATTGTTGTGGAACTTGTTCTACATTTCTTTTGAAAACTAAGGACTTGAGCAAATCTAGATGGTCTATCCTTATGTTGCGGAGGCCACGGATCCGGAGACTCTCAACGCAGCCCTTATGTTCGGTCAGCCATTTCACTGCCCTCACCACCCCATCCGCAGTTAAGTTAGTACATCCAGGTACATGTAGCTGCATATCAGTTGAATACATCAAAAGGTATAATAAAAAAGTATTTATTGTTTCAAAACAAAGAAACTATAGACACTGACATATAACAAAACCCAAATTTTAGGATAAAAAGCTTTGTTGTTGTTGTTGTTGTTGTTGTTGTTGTTGTTTAAGTGTGTACACTCCGTGTAGTTACTAACTGATATAAAATACTAAAATTCCATTCGTACTATGAAATTCCTTCATGAATTTCTCCATGCTGTTGCAATTATATAACAGAAGAATCATAATCATAGCTTAAGAATTTTCTTCAGAATTATTTTTTTCCAACAAAAATTTAGGTAATTTCTAAGAAACTTAGCGTTGAATTCAGTGGTACAAATTTCCTAATTTATAACATGAAAGCCAGAGAACTAGAATCTCCTTAAGATTATTTAGATACCATAAGGTTACTAAAATAGAGTGATGTAAGGAGAGATTATATCAGTCAAGGGAAAAGGAAACCTCCACTACTAAAAGATAGAAATGATAGTAGATGTTGGATTATAATCCATGTTGTATTCATATTTGTATATCTTAGACAAGCAACAGCTCCAGGCGCGGGGCAATGAGAGATATACTATAAGGAATGAATTACACCAATAAATCTTAAGAGAATCAAGCTAAGTGGAAAGTCACAGATAATATCCAATAATTGCAAGTGGGGATGGCAAAATGGGACGGCTTTGGGCTGCTCCTATATAATGCATTTGTCAAGTTCTAGCAAAAACAGCTGGTTATGCCATGAATGAAATTGCAGAATCTTCATAGAATTTTCGTTTTGATTTCAAATTCAGTCCCTCTATTGATTTGATTTCAGACGTTTTGGTTGTTTCGGATTGAGTTTCAGTTTTTTAAAATATAGAAAAAGCGAACACGTATGAATGATTGAATTATATCATAACATATGTTACTCCTATCTCCCTTTACTTTTTGCTTCCTATGCTAATTGTCATGTCATGTACACGTGTGGCAGGTCTTTGTCTGTAAATCTTTAGACAAAAAGGATCTGGATTCTGAAGATTATGAACTAACAATTTAAAGAACCAAGTAACTTATGCCTAATCCGAAGTTTTTATGCTCTCAAAAATTCTCATCAGCTCTTAATCCACTCTGACAACCTTAAGTTTTCACTATTGCCACCACAAAGAGAGGAGGGAAAAAAGTTCAAACTACGCACAAAGGATGCAACTGAAGATAAACTAGCGACATGCAGGCAATGAGTTAAGGTGTAAAATGTCGAGTTGGAAAATGAAGGATCTAAGGAATCAGTATAAGCATAAACACGCCGGATCAAACAGACATAGTCCTCGCAAGCCTGTAAAGTGCAAACTAGTCACTTCCATGAATCCAAAGGCAATAGGCACAATAATCCCATAACTCGGGAAAATTAAGCTGCATCAATTGATACAAAATGACAACAAAGTCCCCATTCCCATGCTTGCACATGACGCCTTATTTTGCTCGAGAACAAGAGTTGCGGCATAATCTTGCAAACCCACATCCTTCAACTCCTAACAAGCATAATTTCCCCTCATAAATATCCTTCGATCCTTATTAGCCAAACTAAAATCATAGTTATAGCCATGCAGAGGGCTCTCCTAGCAAAAAAAATCGAACGAGCATTCAAGTTCTACATTTCGACAAACAGAATGATCATACCTTGGTGATCTCAGGATTGCGCCTAACAACGTTCATCAACCCAGCATCAGTAACCCTCGTGCAGTCAAAGAGCCCCAAAAACCTCATCTTTCCTTCAGCTCTCGAGGCCATCCTCGAAAGGGATTCGTCGGTGAGCCTAGAACTCAGAGGGGGGTCGACGGCGATGCGACGCCATAGGAGGCTGTCGCCGGCGACGGCGTCTCTGAGGGATCTGCATGATCTTTGGAAGGAGAGGAGATCTGGGAGCTGGAGGTAGCCGAGGACCAAGAATAGGGCGCCATGGGGGCCCTGTTGGTTGATGGTGGATGAAGATTGAGATTCGGGTTCCATGGATTTGGGGATTTGACGAGGATTTCTAGGGTTTTAGGGGAATGGTGTCATATTAATTGGTAGGGGAAGAGGATTGAAGATGAGATGAGAGCGATGGGAAGAGGGAGGAGGGGGAAAACAGTCATTTACCTTTTTTTTACTTTGCTTTCTTTACCCCCCTTTTTTTTTGTGCTTGCTTTTTTAAGGGATATTGTCATATTTACAATCAAAAATTGTTAATTTTATATTAATAAGCCTCCAAATCTTCATTTCCTGAAATAGGACCTAAAATCTTCATATTTGATTTAAAGGGGTCTTATTAAAATCACTTGATACAACTTATAGAGATGTAATTAAAAATATGGAGTGTTATTTAAAACAGCTTAATAAAATTGGGTTTAATTCAGAAATAAGAAGATTTGGAAGTGGTTTTGACCACGTATGGCATGAACTCTCTTTTGATCCCCCAACCGATGCATGGTAAAAACATTACAAAATAAGAATTTTCTCTGAAAAACCAATTTCATATTTATTTATGAAAAAAAAAGATGGCAAACTAAGCTACATTAGAACTAGTTAAAATACAGTAGACTACAAATTAGCCAAACTAAGCTACATTAGAACTAGTTCAATAAAGTTTAGTCTAGCAAAATCTAGGCCAAGTGGAGCTAGTTTGAAGCTAGGCCAAGTGGAGCTAGTTTGAAGCTAGGCCAAGTCATTTTCGAACTTGCCAAACACACCATTAGTTTGGCAAAAACTAGATCAAGACTTGGTTTTGTCCAAATTTAGTCTATTCAGAACTAAATTCAGTCTTAAAAGTGCTTTTGTTTTGTTCCACCTCTTCCTAACTCAGAACCATATTGATTTAGGCCAAAACTAATTTAGCGTGGAGTCGCCATACTTTCCCTGAGCTGTATCAAATGTCTATGTTTAGAAAATGGAGTGCAGACGAAGAGGCAGCAAGCTGACGATATCTAATGAACCGCACGCATCAACAGAGCAACCTACGTCAACCAAAGAGCCAAACTGAGCAACAGCTACAGAAATCAAAATATAATCAGAACAGGTACTGCTTCTCGTAAATCCAATATTCAATAACAGGTAGCCAGCTATTTCTAGCACGTGTTCGGCGTAACAGAACCGCCACCAGCTCTGTTGTTTAATAAAAACAAAATTGATTCATAATTGGAGGGTGCGTCAATTTTTTACATATAGTTGTCCTCATATCTGTAATAAGTTGGCTAGTTTTCAAGCACATCTATATTCACGTACAACAATAATGCTTGAAGAGAAGCTCTCTAATTATCAGTGACGTAACGGCTCCACCGCTGTTCGAAATAGGAGAACGTAGACTTTGTCGATAGAGAAGTAGAGGAAGCCTCCCAAGGAATGTGTGACGTACGAACCAAAGCTTGTTCCTACAATGCAATGCCATGCTGGGCCATATGACGAATCAAATTCCTGCAAGAAGAAAAGAAACGAAGTTCAATCGTTTGCTTTTCGATTGTCAAATTCCTTAAAGCCTAACCGAGATAGATTCCTAAGAAGATTTGGGGCAAGTGGAAGGATATCCCATATTTAACGTATCAATAAATACTACTTTGTGAGTGCAATGCAAAGCAGCGTCTCAAATAAGGGTTACTTGATGACGCATTGCTTATACCATGCTAATTCCCATTTTGAGAGTGCAAGCCAAAGTGGTGTGTCAAATGAGGGGCGACTTGATAACGCATTGCTTATAATATGCTAAATTCTATTTTGAGAGTGCAAGGCAAAGTTGAGTGTCAAATGAGAGCTTCGTGATGACTGAACCGAGCTCAACATTAAAACAACTTGTAACCTCAATGGTGTATGATGGTTTTCATGCATTCTGATGAACAAGATTAGTTTTAACCTTTTCCCCCATTCTGCAGTTGCAGATGAATTGTGAAGCAGTGGTGTTGGGTGCCACAATATGTGAGATGGTCAAACCAAATAACAACCATCTCCGTTGAAAGAAGGACAAGCAACAAATGTCACAGAGTAAAATAGCGACAAGAGAAGCCTGGAGAACAAGAGTTGATTGCATTATTGCATATAAAGCTTTATATAAAAGGGACATAAATCCTAGTGTCGCATACTCGAGGATTACCTAGAAGGGGGAAATACAACTCTCACACTGACAAGGGCAAAAGGTGATAAATACTAGTATGGTTCCAACCTAGTGCTTATACCAGACTACCTAGCCTCTTAGGAAGCATATACTAACTAAGAAGAAACAATCAAAACCAAAATAACGAAATTGACTGCCAACCTCAACATCGGAACGACTACCCTTTTTTTATTAACTACCACCCAAGTTTAAATGCATGAACATTTGTTAATCGAGAACCACGAATATCTGTTCATATTCACATCACTCCTCTACTCAAGGCTCAAGCAATTTCAGATTTCCGGAAAGCTAGTTTTTAAATATGGAGTTGGAAACAGAAAAAAAAGGGAACATCATCTTAAACTGAATAGTTAAACATCAATTGACAAAATCATTGTTGCTGAACATCCCTAACTTTAGGAACATGTTACTATTGTGCTTTCACATGATAAGAACATTCTAACAACTTTCCATTTACCGTGTGTCCTACAGTAACCAGTTAAAATTGTCGCGCGGACATTTTTATTACATTAACTAAATCCCTAGGGGATTTCAGAGACAGAATTCTTGAAGATGGCACATGGTGTATACTATTATTGTTGCTCATAGTCTAGTTGATGACTATCATAGATAGAGTATTCAAAGAAAACACAATGCATCACATTGAGTAAGGAACTGTGAACAAGTCGAGCTACAGAAGAGTAACAACATTTAAGATACACCAGAAAGTATGTAAAGTGTATAGAAGTCTTAAATTAGGAATTTGTCCTGTCTGAATTATCCTGATCCCTTAGGATGCTTAAGATAGGATGCCAACTAAATAAGTTGCTGGTGCATGTTCATCTTGAGCTAAATATTTTCTCTAAAGTGGCTGAATAACTCAATGAGTTAAACCTAGCTAGACTCGACATAATCTCACACAATTTGATAAGATATACAGTCAGCAGCACTCATCTATTTCGTCTTTTACCATGCGAATGGCATGATATCTAAAAAATCTAGACAAATTATTGCTAAAAACCCAAATAGATATGATGCACAAGACACTTAGAGATGGCTGCATGGCACTCAGTCACTCGTGATGATGCTCCAGTACTCGGAACCTCAATACATGTTTGATTCAATAGATGTCAGCCGGTTAGAACTAGGGAGCTTGAAGTCACCCTTTGAAGCCTAATACCAATCTGTACCCTCCAACCCGAGATCCAAAACACTCGACAGATGACACTCATGAAAGGCATGTAGTTCAGCCAGCTTTGATAGTGCACAAAGAAGGTTTGACCCTAAAGGCTTGTCTAATTATCCTGATATTGATCGAGAGAACTCAGAGGCTGCGTCCATCAACCAACATAATCATGTCCGAAAGAGATACCCATAATATTGCCGGAAATCGAGGAACTAGCCATAAGGGTAAAGAGATGATACTTCACAAGTCTTCATCGAAGCCTGCAATCACCCTTGAAATACTCTTAATAAGACTTCCAAGTTGTTAGGAGTGTCTCGCATCCATCCAGTTCAAACATGAGTTTGATTTAACAAAAGGTATGAGATAGGATTTAGTCCTACTTAGGAATGGTTAAATATATTTGGATTCATGAGTCAAATAAAATTAACCCTTTTCAGTGAATTTGGGTTCTAGTATCCCAACACAAACAGTCGAAAAGAGTCGAAAGAATATTTTTTAATCTAAAACACCCACTACAACTACTCCCTCTTTAAAGTGTTCCTCTCTGGTAACTATTCTGCTAACAAAGATTGCGATCAAACCGAAAAAGGGCAATATTTTAGAGGGAAAAAATTTACCTTTTTGAGAGCAAGAGCAAGCTTTTTGCTATCAAGCTTAGTCATCTCCTTCATCACCTCACGAGCGCACCGGAACGCCTTCCTCTGCATCGCCAGCGACATGTCCGCCGCCCTCACCTTCACGTTCCGCTGCTCCTGCGGATCTCCCTCCTCCTTAACCTCCTCCTCCTCCTCCTCCTCCTTCCCCTTCTCCTTCTCCTCTTCTTCGCTCTTGAGCTTCGTCCTCTGGATCAGAGAGCTCAGGTGCCTGCTCCGCCTCTCGAGCTCGTCCGACGCCGCGTCCATCGCCGACTTCTTCTCCCTCATCTTCTCCGCCGGTCGTGGTGACGTGGCATCAGCTAGAGAGAGAACGAAGGAAGGGGCTAGGGTTTTGATTTCTTTGAGAGAGAGAGAGAGAGAAAAAAAATGCTAGGGTTTGAATGGTACTTTGTTTGGTGGTGAAGTCGTGCGGACTGGGGATGGGGAGAGCGGAGGAGAGAGGGGAGACAAGGTACCGGGCACGTTTTTGCATAAAAGGACGGTGTTTTTGGATTATTTATTGAGAGAGAGGCGGGGTTACTTATGAGAGGATCCTAAGACTGGGGTAGGATCACCGCCCACCTCTGTAAAATAAATGGGAAAAGATTTTGCGGTACAAAATAGAAGGATTAGGATCACCGGATCACATTCTTCTCGGGGCCGTTCGGCTATTGCTTTAATAAGTGATGACTGTACTACGGAGTTAATATTGCTTTTGTACTATAACTAATAAAAGAATGGAGCTCATGATAACGCTTAACTTTTCTTTACAGCTTTTAAGAAAAGACCCAACAATTCTTAATGGTGGTACAAATATAGTATAAAACTTAATAGTTCAATTGTCGTTCTTCCTCTATGAAGTCCCATAAGGGGCTGTTTGTTTGCAAAAATGGGAAGGGGAAAGCCTGTCAAATCTGACAAAAACTGTCAGTTTTGGCAGGCTTTCTTGCAAAAACGCCTCTTTTAGAGGCGTTTTTGCAAGAAAGCCTGCTAAAACTGACAGTTTTTGTCAGATTTGGCAGCTTTCCTCTAACTTTCTCCTTCAAAAAAAATGAAACAAACGGGCCCTAAGAGGTTTGGTTAATATTAACTGGCATATTTTTATTGGTTGATGTGATTCATACTTAAGTAAACTTATTTCTTAGATTAAGTGCAAAGGCATTCTTAATTGTTTCCATCCCCAAATTTTTTTCCCTTTATTTCAAGGAAACTAACAGCCCCTAAGTTGGTTATCATTTATTTTTACTTAATTTGTAAAGGGTAAAGTGCTCTTTTAACATGAACTTGTATTAGACTCATGCATGCACAGATTTGCACTAAACTATCATAACAAGTTTGAATAATGACATAACTATTGTTTATATCTGTTATTAAATAGAGAAGTTTATTGTGGATTTTTTTGTCTGTTAGGGTTTCTCAATCTTTTTTTATGGTTGGTTATGGAGCAGAAGATTCATTCATGCATTTTTTTGTCTGTTAGGGTTTCTCAATCTTTTTTTATGGTTGGTTATGGAGCAGAAGATTCATTCATGCACATAAACAACACATGAGATGATTGGAGCTTTTTTTATGGTTGGTTATGGAGCAGAAGATTCATTCATGCACATAAACAACACATGAGATGATTGGAGCCGGGATCTTCGATGGTTCATCTGACGATCAAGTTAGTTATGAGGTTGAGTGGAGAAAAAATATGAACGCAGCATGCTTATTATCAAGAGATTGTTTGTTCTTGTGCAGCAGACAGTCCCTTTATGTATAACAGGTCCAGAGGGGCAATCGTGTAACTTTGGTCGAGTCCAAGCATGTGTTACTTACATTTCCCTGAAGCAACTTGTGAATATGATAAGACATATGCTAAATCAGACTTTATTGTTGATTCATACATAAGTTACTTACATTTCCTCCCCTGGATTCATCCTGAAACCTTCATAAACTAAAGAATGTAAAAAAAAGAAAAAATTCCGACTTCCAACACAAATATTCAGCCAGTATTCAGTTTCTGCACATAAAAATGGAACATTATTTCATTCACTGAATATTCAATTTCTGTACAAAAATTCTGACTTCCAACACAAATATTCACAGCCAGTATTCAGTTTTTGCACATAAAAATGGAACACCAATACATTCACTAAATATTCAATTTCTGCACAAAAATTCTGACTTCCAACACAAATATTCCCAGCCAGTATTGTGGAAACATGCAAGGCATAACATTTGCACCATCAGGTATTGCTAGCAGACTGAAAGTTACAGGCAAAGTTACAAACTGAAATTCACAAACCAAAGTTACATCAGAGAAAGTTACAACTAAAGTTCAAACTAAGTATTGCATCAGAGAAACTGAAACGCGTTGTCCCGATCTTTCTTCCTAAGGACTAGGTCTTTCTCTCTACGGGCAGCAAGCGGCGCGCGCGGGGGAACCGCAGGATCGGGGGGGGGGGGGGGGGAGGAGCTTTTGTCTTGGTGGGTCCGGGACCGCGCCTCACCGATGACTGCTGACGACGAAGAGGAGCCCGACGTCGAGGATTAGCTGCTGGAGATCGACCTTCACCCCCGATAACGACACCGATGAGGAGTCCGACGACGACGACGAATTTTCCACCGAGAGCTTGGTCCCGTTGGAGCATCGGTCATTGACGGGGTTAGTGGAGGAGTCTTCGGGGTCTCCGTCGCCGCTGCCGCTCATGAGTAAGCTAGATCGATGGGTCTTCGTCGTCGCCCATGAGTAAGCTCGAAACCCTAACAGGGGAGGATCTCGTTGAAGGAGGAGGAAAGGCAAGGGATTGGGAGGGGGAAAGTCTAGGGGTTCTCGGGCGTCAGCATCGACATCGGTGCAGGAGAGGGAGGAGCTCGGCGTCGACGTCGGGTTCTCGGGCGACGTCGTCGGTGTCGAGAGAGGGAGGAGGGAGGGTCTTGGAGGTGTGAGGAGGAATCAGAAATTTGGGGAGGGGATCTGGGTGTTTGAAAGAGTTTTGGGGAATTTAAGAGGGATCTTATCCGTTGATTTAAATGAAAGGCTGAGATTGATTTATAAGGTAATATTAGGAACACTGTTCCTTAGGAGAGAATCTGGATCCTAAGAAAAGACCCAACAATTCTTACTGGTGGTACAAATATAGTATAAAACTTAAAAATCCCAAAATATGGGACCAATAAGGAGGACAAGTGAGGTGTCTCACGCCTATTGGATAATGAGTTGGCCATTGGCCGATAATGTGATCAACTCATTATCCAATAGGAGGAGGACACCTCATTTGTCCCCCTTATTGGTCCCATATTTTGGGGTCTCTGTAGCAAAGCTCTCATAAAACTTATAGTTCAATTGTCGTTCTTCCTCTATGAAGTCCCATAAAAGGTTGTTTGGTTAGTCAAAAATACAACTAAATCAATTATAATAAATAAAAATGTTATGTGGCATATTTTTATTGGTTGATGTGATTCATACTTAAGGAAACTCATTTCCTAGATTTTTGTAAAGAAATGAGTGGAAACTCATTCTTAATTGTTTCCATCCCCAATTTTTTTTCCTTTATTTCAAGGAAACCAACAGCCCCGAGGTTGGTTATCATTTATTTTTACTTAATTTGTAAAGGGTAAAATGCTCTTTTAACATGAACTTGTATTAGACTCATGCATGCACAAATTTGCACTAAACTATCATAACAAGTTTGAATAATGACATAACTATTGTTGATATCTGTTATTAAATAGAGAAGTATACTGTGGATTTTTTTTGTCTGTTAGGGTTTCTCAATCTTTTTTTATGGTTGGTTATGGAGCAGAAGATTCATTCATGCTTTTTTTTGTCTGTTAGGGTTTCTCAATCTTTTTTTATGGTTGGTTATGGAGCAGAAGATTCATTCATGCACATAAACAACACATGAGATGATTGGAGCTTTTTTTATGGTTGGTTATGGAGCAGAAGATTCATTCATGCACATAAACAACACATGAGATGATTGGAGCTGGGATCTTCGATGGTTCATCTGACGATCAAGTTAGTTATGAGCTTGAGTGGAGAAAAAATATGAACGCAGCATGCTTATTATCAAGAGATTGTTTGTCCTTGTGCAGTAGACAGTCCCTTTATGTATAACAGGTCCAGAAGGGCAATCGTGTAACTTTGGTCGAGTCCAAGCATGTTGTTTAATCAACAAATATTGTACATGTGTCGGCTGCATATTGGATAAGCCATGTGATTAATGTGATGGTGACAAGGGAAGCATGGTGCTGATAGAGTCCAATAAGTCATAAAGACTTTTGGGAATGGAGTGATAATGATTCCGACCATGTATTTAATGTGATATTTACTGTCAACGAGTGATTCGAGGGCAAACCAGCTCTTGTATCGGTCTTACGAGAAGGCCGATAAATGTCGCCTTTTTAGTCGATCATCTTAGCCTCGAAAGTTCTCGACCTGGTCTCGTAGAATGAAGGGGCATGGAGTAGATTCTGACAGCGGGATTCGAGTAAGAACGCCTTTCGACTCGGCCTCTCTTGGAAAGGGTCGAGTGTAGACGTTGCTTGAGTAATCTCACATTAGACGAGGTCGATCTAATGTTTTGTTAATATGGGACACGTGTTGACTCCTAGGAAAGGATTAACACTTAGTCATTTTTATGGTATAACAACTATCAGCTTTTATCCGTTTTCTAATTTTTAGAGATGTATAATTAAGTGAGTTATTCTCAAGAAAAAGGATAATAAATCTAAATGAAGGGAAACTAAAGCATTTGTACCCATGTGCAAAACTTAATAAAGGCATGTTTGTTTGCATATAAGTAATTATGAAGTAGCTCAAATAAATTAGAGGCTATTTCTGCTACTTCTGAGCAAAAAAACATGTTTGTTTATTTCTTAAAAACCTACTTCTAGTACTTCCTTAAACACTGATGTGACGCCTGCGTGTCATCCCTACTTTCTAAATTTTTTCCTCCCCTTAAGGCTGAGAAGTAGCCCGGAAGTAGGTGAAATGTGTATTAGTTAGGAAATAAATAAATTTTCTTATTAATATTTCTTTTATTACTTACTTCCTAATAAATTTTCATTGTCATCCAAACAAAAAAGTTAAATTAAGAATAATAACTATTATTTCTACTACTTCAAAAAATAAATAAATAAATATTACTTTCAGTACTTCTTACTTCATAAATTTAGAAGTTAATTCTTTAATCTATTTTCTATTGTTAATATTTCTATCAAACCAAACGAGCCATAAGGGTCTAAATAATAAGTTGTGTTATATCCCCAAAAAATACTAAATATTAATCTCCACAGAGAAGTGGACACGTGTCTTACACTTTGCCTAATCAAACTAATTCAATAGCATGATAACATCTGGCTTGTCACAGCCAATTTGATTGGTCGAAATCTCATGTAACCATGTCAAAGATGGTACTACTTGGACAACCTCTCAATTGACCACCGGCGATACGACTCGGCCAACTGTTCAGCCGACATCTCATGTAACCGAGTCAAAAGGCGATACCTCTCGGCCCTGGACCTGAGAAGTCAAA